AGATTCCAACTTCTACCGCTAGTTCTCGTGTAGTTATATGAGGATTTTCATTAATAAAATCCTCCACCCTTCCAATTGTTTCTGGGGTGACAGCATCATGGGGACAACCAGAACGAATTTCATCTTTAATGGTTTGCTGGCCCAGTTCAAATGCCTCAATCCAGCGATAAATTGTACTTTTAGACAGTGCTTTGTCTCCCTCTACAACTATTAGCTTTTTATGAATATCAGCAACTGAAGTGCCATTCTTCCATTCAACAAAAATATAGTAACGTTGATGTTCACGAGTAGAATTTTCCATTTGTTTTTGATGAGGAAATTCAAAAAATATTTTTTTATGAACCAGTCAATCAAATTTCGCCAATTTTTTTTCCTCAAATATATCGATGGTACTACTTTCAGTAAATCATAACTTTGTTTAGGTATACCCACATATTATTGAGTAATACAATGATTCTCATTACTTTTCAGCCATACCACGTAAATGGACATATTAAACAAAATCCCAGCCATTTTATTTTACAGATTTCTCCTTGATGCTAGTGATCATGGTGACTATCACAATAGGAGTGGACAGAGTCAAATTGCCACCTTATACTTGTAAGGTACATGCTCTCATTGAGTTACACTTCTCCAACCTAGATATGGGCAAAAGCCCCCATTAAAAAATAACAAATTCCATTGATCAAATACAAATTAAAGAATATATAACATACCAAACAAAATCTAAACCATTTTGTTTTACAGCTTTCCTCCTAACATCAGTGCCCAAATTAAATTTCAAAGTCATCAACCTCACTCTAAATTGAAACTTCCTGTGCTTGGAACAAGTTGCAGATTCTCATTGCTTTGATGGATCTGAATGTTTATGCACACCTAATAACACAATTCTTCAAATTCTGCAACCTCCAGAGTTATCACAGAGCCATCTTTACCCTAGGGGTAGGATTATTGTAGGCTAACATGTCAGCAGCCTTCACTGGTGAGGGAAATTAAGATTCAAACATCATTGACAATGATGCAGTCTCGATAAAACTCCAGGGCCATACATTCCCCTGGAATTCAGTTGCATCATTGTATCATTGGGGGATGTGGTCAGATTAACCTTATGTACAGAGGAAGAAAATGACTAATGTGTTCAGAGCAGCATATTTGCTTCAACATCTGCCAATTTCCGATAATCACACGTCGCATTTCGAATTATTTCATTTCCCAATGACAAAGATTATCCAATCAAATTTTGAATTCAAATCTTAAATTATCACTTTTTTTTTCCAAAAAAAAAAACAACTATGGACGTATCTTCACAATTGGAAACTCGAACTTCAAATTTGTAGGCCATTAAAAAACAAATTTTTATTTATTTATTTATTTATTTATTTATTTTAATTAATTATACTCACTTAAACGAACTCCTACAGTAAACCAATAACCGTACCTGAAAAGCCAATTCCTTTAGATTTCGATCTTGCATTATTGACTGCCTATGATATAAATGTTTTAGATGAGACAAAAATAAAGTAAAAACACTTTAAGATATTTGGATTTATTCTACTATTGATTTAATTCCATTATTGAAAAAAATTTTTTTTTGAATATTGGAAAAAAAAGAAATGGCACAAATAATTACTTGAAAGAATATTCAAGAGATAATACACAATTGTTAATAAATAATATATATAAATCACAATTAACATCATCACAAGATAATGGAACTGTAGCTGTATTACCCGAACAAAAAACCTTGATTCCAAGAGAAAAACCTGTAAATTTTTATCTTCATATTAGCATTTTATTCATAATATATGTTTTCATATCCAACCTATCACCCACATTATTAATTCCATAATAACATAAATAGTTGCCAAAACCAAAACCACCAACGAAATGGGAAAGATTTGCCAAATCGAAGGGCATACAGAAATATAAAAAATCAAGAAAAGTTTATGATGATGTAAAAGATGAATGGGTTCCTAGATGGGGTTATAAAGGCGCTAATAACGAGGAGTTAAATGATTGGTTAATACCTGTACCTAATAATTCTGGTAAAAATCTTTATTACTAGTATTATTATAATTATTATAATCAGATTTAATAAATAATATTTGAATTATTTGTATATATTTAAGATCCATATGAAGATCAATTTGATAAAAGACGTCAGGATAAAAAAGAGAGAATCAATAAAAATAAAGCACAACAACAAAAAAATCTTGAAATTGCTCAAAAACAAGCACCAAGCATCATTAATAGCAATAATAGTAGTAACAATAAATCTTCAAGAAGATTAGAATTACAACGACAGATTGCAATCACTAAAACTTCAACTGCCAGTGTTGGTAAATTTGAAAAACAATTAGATAATGAACCAAAATTAAAGGGTATTAAAAGAAAGGTAACTTAATTATTGATATTATTAATTATTACAATTATATTATATGATAATTAATATTTTTACCATTTTTATAAATTACCAGTTTGAGTCAAATATTGGAGATGTTAATAAAGAAAAAGAATCAAATTTACATATATTAAATAAAATTGTTGATAAAAGTCCAAAGAATATCTTAAATGTTAGAAAGGTATTAAATAAATGTTCAAAATTAACTATAAAAATATGATAAATATATTTATTTGATATATGTCTAATTTTTTTTTTTTTTTTTTTTGCTTTTAAAAACTAGGCAATTGCAAAAAGAAACAAAAAATAATTTGTAAAATTTAACTTAATAACAATAAAATTAATAAAATAAAATAATGAACATTCTAGGAATGCTCTATATAGTATCAAGGGAAAAGAATTTCCAAGACGTTGGCCATAACTTTATAGAAAGCCTCAAATAAATCACACGTCACTGCCACTATACATGGTCTGTCCTTCTAAAACATCTTGGTCTTATTCCTCCATTTTGATTCATAAACAAAAATGCAAGCTCCCTTGGTATTGCAATTATACATGAAACCTTCTTTATTTGAGCTTAAATTCAAATTACATAGTAAAAACCAATTTTGACTTCATGATTCCAGTAAGTCTATGAAAAGCGTTAATATAAGTAATTGATATCAGAAAAAATTAATCACCAGATAATCTATGAAACAATTTGTCATTTTCTTTCTCCATGAGAATCTGCTTATACTGAAAAATATATATGAGATAATGTACATAGCCGTCAATTAAAGAATACGATCCATTTTATAAAAATACAATCAGTAAGTATTATAATCAATATATGCTTATTTTAACATTAATGAATATTTGAACTGTGTTAACACTCAAAAAAATCCCAAACAAAAGTGTTTTAAGAACGATTTAACTTCCAGTCATACACAGTGCAAGCCGTGAACTTTCTGCGCCACAGCGGCAATAAAAAATTTCAGGTTTCCAGAATTCGAGCAGTTTGAAATAGCACGCCGTACGTAGAAGTTAGAACCCAAGAATTAGAAACCAAGTTAAACGCCAAACAAAACCTGAACAATTAAGTTAAGACCAAAGTAAAGGAAGTATTAATTTGTACTTTTGGATTTTGTTACTCCATCATCTCCATACGCATGAATGGATGAAAAAAATGTTGAACATCGAGTTTTATTTTTGATGATAAAAAACAATAAAAAAGACAATAAAAAAGTGATTCTAAAGCAGGAAAACGATTAAAAAACAAACATGGATCTAAAATGCTAAAAATATTTGTTTTTTTATTACCATTATCACTGTATTTTTCAATACTTGAGACTTGAAAATTTATATTTTTTTGACGATCATTTCTTATTTTATTATAAATGTAAATTAAAAAATTTTATCTATCTAAACGTAAATAAAAATTTTTTTGAAATGGCAAAAATTAAAAAATCAACAAAGAAATTTCAAAAGCAACATTTAAAAAAAACAATAGAAAGGAGACAAAAAGTAAATAAAATAAAAAAATCCATAGAAAAAAAGAAACTAAAGAAGAAAAAAGTACCAGCTTTTGAAGAAGAAGATAAGTTCAAAAAAAAAGATGCTAAAATTAGACCAAAGAGAGAAAAGCAAGAAGAGAAAGAGGATATAAATGAAGATGAAGACGAAGAATCATCCGAGGAAACAACTAACTATAATGATGATAAATTAGATAATGAAAATATATCTAATGAATCTGATGATTACGATGATTATGATTCAGATGAAGAAGCAATTTTGAATATTAAGTTGGATGATGACTATGAAAAAGAGGAGGAAGATGAAGAGGAGGAAAAAAAGTCATCCAAAAAATCAATCAATCATAATAATGATGACATCAGCAACGATGACAATGATGATATACCAGACCTAACATTTGAAATGATTACAAAATGGCAAAAATCTATTACAGAGGTAATATTCATTCATTGTTTGTATTTATTATATATATTTTCCTAAAAAAAAATTAATAAATTTGGATTTATAGTCAAAATCTTTGAAATCAACACATCGATTAATCCTTGCATTTCGTGCAGCAGCTCACCTTAATGATGATGAAAACGAAAAAACTTATTCTTATAAGATAACTGATCCGACAGGTTTTTTTTTCAAATTATTTGAAATAAATTATCATTGAATTTTCTGATTTTAACAATAAAATTTTTTTTTGTCTGGTGTTGCTATTATTATTAGTATTTAATAATCTTCTTGTAATATGTATGAAATATATTCCTGGAGTTTTCAATCATCATTTAAAGGTGGAAGATACTGATGTATCAAAAAAGTATGTATAATTCTATTATCACGTGCACTATATATATTCACATAATATATATACTTACATAATATAATATACAACTTTTATTTATTGAATAGTAAACTTCCATGTTTTAATCATAAATGGAAAACTCTTGAACTAATGGTGAAATCATTTCTAAACAATGTTCTTTATATTCTTAAACAATTAACAGATAAGAATATGATTAATTTTTTTACAAAAGAGTCTGAAAAAATTCTTCATTATTATGCAAGTATTCCCAAATTGGCAACTCAATATCTAAAGGCTGTTTTACAAATTTGGGGATTTGCTGATGATAAATCTAGAATTTTAATTTTTTTGAATATTCATAAACTTGCGATTCTAGCACCACCACCATTTATTGATTTTTGTTTGAAAGTAAGCATTATACAATAAATTAATCGATAGACTATTAATAGACTAATTACATACATACATACATACATACATACATACATACATACATTTATTTATTTATATTATTTATTTAGAATGTATATACTAGTTTTGTCAGCAATTCTAAAGAGACAACAGCTTTTACCATACCATCTATTAATCTTATGGGTAATTGTGCAGTCCAGATTTATGGTATTGATTTCAAAAGTTCATATCAATCAGCTTTCAATTATATAAGACAGTTAGCAATTAATCTCAGAAACGCAATGAATGTTAAGAGCAAGGTATAGCAACAGAATAAACAAATTTTAAATTAATATTTTAATATTTATAAATGCATTGATAAATGACAATCTTTATTTATTAATGACAATCTCCATCATTAATAACAAATAGGATAGTCATAGATTAATATATAATTGGCAATTTATTCATTGTATTGAATATTGGTCAAGAATTTTAGGAACTTATTGTGATCAAAGAAGAATAGCCGAAGGAGGGGAATCTTCTTTACAAGAATTAATCTATCCATTTGTTCAAGTTACCATTGGTGTAATCAAGTATGTTTATATATATATATCAATTAACACACATGAATAGTTTATTAATCATTAATTAATAATATTAATTAATAGCTTAAACTCAACTGTAGAATATTTTCCACTTCGATTCCATTGTATTCGTTCATTAATTAATCTTATTAAAACTACTGGAACTTTTATCCCATTGGCAACTTTTCTTTTTGATATATTACAATCAAAAGAAGTTGTACGTTCACCAAGACCATCCACTTTGAAACCATTAGATTTCTCGATCATTCTCAAAGTTCCAAAGAATTATCTACATACTAGATCATATCAGGATGGAATATGCGAAGAGTTATTTGAATCATTTTTAGAGTATTATGCTTGTTTTTGTAAATCAATAAGTTTTCCTGAATTGATAATACCTGGAGTCGTTCAAGTATGCATGTGTGTATGAAATTTTTAATTTAGAAATAATTCTAATATTAATTTAATTAAATTTACCTGTAGTTGAAACGTCACATTAAGCACTCTTCAAATTTTAAATTCAACAAACAATTACAACAACTTAACGAAAAGGTAAAATAAAATTATATTTTGATTGTTAAATCAAATAATATTTTATAATATTGATTAATTAGTTTATTTGTTTATTTATCTATCTAAGCTTGAACAAAATTCCAAGTATATTGAACAACAACGTTCAAAAGTTGATTTCAGTCCAAATAATTTAACTCAACTGGTAAATCATTTATTATTAATATTTATCATTGTTGGTGATTATACTTTAATTATATATTTATTGTTTATCAATATTTAGAGATCCTTTTTGAAAGATATAAGTCCTGATTCCACTCCACTTGGTAAATTTGCAAAATCAATGAGATTATTAAAAGAGCAACAAAAACAACCATTAAAGATGGTAAATATAATTAATTTATTTTTCAAAATGCTAACTGACAATTTAAATAATAATATTTATTTCAAATAAATAGGATATAGATGGTAAATAGATGATGAGATGGCAATTATTTAAAAAAATTTCTATTGTATCTTTTTATTTGAACTACTAAGGTTAAAATTTCTTATCATTGCAAAAAAATATCATTCAAAATTAAATTTTTATAATATATAATTAAAAATCAAAAATCAAAAAAAAAATTTATCTATTAAATACCTAAATAATTGAATATAATGAATACTATAGTAGTGCTTGTGCTGCTTTAAAAGATTCATTAGTAATTTGATTTATGATCTACCAAACCCGGAATTTTTTGCTGTTGAACACCAACCCACTTCAATGGTGGCATTTTATCACTTAAAATAAATAATTGTGGTTCTAATTTTACAGGTTCTATTGGATTGAATTGAATATCTGATTTATTCTTATTTTTTGGTTCAAGATTATTTCATTTGATTTCATTGTAGTAGTATCATCATCATCAACATCATCTCATCTTTACCAGATGAAGAAACATTAGTTTCTGATGATGGTATTAACAGTTGTTGTTGATTATATTTGTAAAGTGTTGCCTGATGATGATGATGAATTTATTAGTGGCATAATTGGTGATCAAGGAAAATTCGACATGACTTTTCTTTAGTTGCTCTTTGTATAACGCTTTTAATTCCTATAAATGTCTAATTAGTCCAAAATTTAAAGCAACGTTAACCTTTCCACTAAAATCTACCGAAAATCTGTGATCTACAACCTTTACTTTCTATTCCCTGTATAGTATCCAATTGCTAGAGGTGGACGACAGCAAAAACCATTAACTATTATTGACTTTATCAAAAATGGTATCTGCTCCTCAAAGGTGATCATTTTTAAAAAAATAATTGCACCGAATGATTATTTAGAAGTCAGGGAATGATTTGTTGCAGCCAGATTTTTCATTTAAACTTACTAGCAAATGTTACAAGGGTTTAAAATCTCACTATTTTTGTGTAAAATTTACTAAATTCTCTTTATTTCGTTGGTCGAAAATAATTTCACGTGATATTTTCACAATAATTTTCTTAAATTCTATTGGTTAGTCTGCTTGTATCATAATGATTTTCTTGAAATTTATTGGCTAAAATTTGTGCATGTGATAAATTTTAAAACAAAATTTTCCGCACCCTTTGTATCACTTGATGGATTTTGCTGTCGTCCACTGTAGATAAAGTAAAAATATATTTGTTAGATGCTGCTTCAACATACTCAAACCATTTTTGAAATGAAATTATTTTTCATCTACAATTTTTAATTTTTTACATGTACTTTTTAACAAAGCAATGCCATTGATTTTCATATCAAGGAATCTATTAATCTTTTCGCCATTACCTATCGATCTTTTCATATCCACTAAAAGTTTATCAAAACTTGTTTGAACACAACAGAATCGTGAAATGATTTGGATATATTGCTATATGAACTTTCTCTATAGAAATTGAATTTTTCCAGTAGGTTTGATCAATAATCCTCCAATGGGCAAATCCTTGAACGTCAATTATTGTTGTTGTTGTTGTTTATTTTTTGTTGTCACTTTATTAATTGATTTCTCTGCAGCAGCAGTTGTTATTTGTGTAATATTATTATTCGTAGGATTAAGATGTTCAGTTTGTTTAAATCAGATGTTACATTGGCAGCTGTTATTCTTTTTTCTTCGACCAATGCTAAAAGTCTATTACCCATGCGAAGAAATATAAGAACTGTTTTCATCGCAAGTATAGCTAGAATTTGTTGTAGCTTTACATCTGCATGAATCAATACATTTGCAGCTTCCACAGATTTGACATCCCAACTATCGGTTAGTTGGAATTGTATAGGATCTATTGCTAATATTAGTATTTTTTGACACTCATATTCCAACAAGGATTGAAGACGTTCAGCTCTAAAAACAGACTTGTAAGGTATAGAAAATTTAGACTGTAATTTGTCTTTTTATTATTTTATAATATTAATTAATATTAAACATATGCATTTATCTTAATGTATTTTATTAATAAATACATGCCACACTGACAACGGATTTTTGATTGGGTTTTTCTATATTAATATTACTAGTTTTAATACACCACATCATTATAATTTATTTCTTCGCCATATTCAATCTATAATAATTTTATCATTTTGACACACCTCTTTTGCCTTCTGCACTCTTTGTTCAATTTTTATATCTTCTTTTTGTTTTAAATTGGTAGCATTTATTTTATTTTTGATTTACAATATAATTAATAATTTAAATGGGTAATTTGTTGTAAATAAAAAAGACGCGATTATCTTTCCCGTGACATAGATTGGTCTGAAAATTGAAGTGATCGGCGTCAGAAATAATAATACTGACCACCGTAAACTCTATCAATTCCCAAATATTATGCAATTAAAAAAAAAGTAAACTGTGAGAAGTCCCAATCCATCATTTTAACGGTTTATTTTTTTTTGTAGCACCCGTAAACTTTTGAAGAGTATAAAAAAGGTCTTAAAAGTGGCACACAAATATAATGCTTTATATAGTAGTGATATTCTCGATCGTCAATAGATTTTTTTTTGAAATTATAAAAACTTACCAACTAAAATTTATTAAAATTATTTATTATAAATAAGATTAATTTTTAAAATGCAGATGCTAACAAAGGTAAAATTTTTATAATAGAATTTATGAAAAAATAATATTGATATTTGATTCAATTTATTTTACGCATGTATTTATTTATTTGTATAATATAGTTTGAATCAAAAAGTAATCGTGTAAAAGGCATAGCATTTCATCCTAAAAGACCTTGGATTCTTGCTTCACTACATAATGGCTGCATTCAATTATGGGATTATCGAATGGGTACTCTACTAGAACGTTTTGATGAACATGATGGTAACCAATCAATCATTAATATCAATTCATCAATTAATCAGAATTGTATTTATTTTTTAACAAATTGGACTTTGTTTTCTACTATATAGGACCTGTTCGAGGAATTGCATTTCATCCAACACAACCTTTATTTGTTTCAGGAGGCGATGATTATAAAATTAAAGTATGGAATTATAAATCTCGTAAATGTTTATTCACATTGAATGGTCATTTGGATTATGTACGTACTGTATTCTTTCACCATGAATATCCCTGGATTCTTAGTTCTTCTGATGATCAAACAATTAGAATTTGGAATTGGCAATCTAGAAATTGTATTGCAATTTTGACTGGTCATAATCATTATGTGATGTGTGCACAATTTCACCCAAAAGAAGATTTGATTGTTTCTGCTTCATTGGATCAAACAGTAAGAGTTTGGGATATTTCAGGTATCCAATTGAAATATAATATATGGTTTGTTTCAAAAAAAATATAAAAAATATAAAAACAAAATACAGAAAAAATATAGATTTTTTTTTACTTTAATATATTCTTGATCATGGGTTAGGTCTAAGGAAAAAAAATGCTGCCCCAAGTCCAATGACTTTTGAAGATAGTTTTCAAAGATCAACAGCAGCTCAAGCAGACATGTTCGGTAGTACTGATGCAATAGTAAAATATGTTTTAGAAGGACATGATCGTGGTGTCAATTGGGCTACATTTCACCCTACTCTCCCATTAATTGTATCTGCTGGCGATGATCGTCAAATCAAATTATGGAGAATGAATGGTATTAGGATGTTTATTAGAATGTTTATTTATCATACACATATATATATTATTTGTATTATCATTATTATTGTTAATTTCAAAAAATGTTATTACTATCATTATTAGATACTAAGGCGTGGGAAGTTGATACATGTCGTGGTCATTATAATAATGTATCAGCAGCATTATTTCATCCAAGGCAAGAATTGATTATATCAGACGCAGAGGATAAAACTATACGTATTTGGGATATGTCAAAAAGAACCCTTGTTCAAACTTTTCGTCGTGAGCATGATAGGTTCTGGGTATTAACGGCACATCCAGAGTTAAATCTTTTTGCAGCTGGTAAGAGATACATACTGCAAATTAGAAATTATATATACACAGGATATTTATTTAACATGCTTGCGTTATCAAATTTTAAGGTCATGATAATGGACTTATAGTCTTCAAACTTGAAAGAGAACGTCCTGCATATGCAGTTCATCAAAATAACCTTTTCTATATTAAAGAAAAGTATCTACGAACATTTGATTTTTCAAATGGATCAGATACTTCAGTAGTTTCATTGCGTAAGATTGGTGGACAATATATTCAACCTAGATCATTATCATACAATCCTGCTGAAAGAGCTGTTATTGTGACAACGGTCAGTTAATTTGATTATTATAATAATTTATCAATAATATATGTATATATTTTATTAAATAAGCTAATGGTAAGTGATATATATGATACTTTCAGCCTGTTGACGGTGGAACTTTCGATTTGTTTCATCTGCCTAAAAATTCAAATGGTGAACCACGTGAACTTACTGGTGATGGAAAACGTGGTCCAGGAACATCTGCAGTTTTTATAGCGAGAAATAGATTTGCTGTTTTAGACAAAACACATCAGGTAATCTTTAAATAAAATTAGTAATTTTTTTATATATATGCGTACATGCATATATATACTTGATATTATTTTTTTTTGTTTTTTTTTTGGTAGCAAATTGAAATTCGAGATTTGTCAAATTCTACTACCAAATCTATTAAACCACCAACTACTGTGAATGATATATTCAGTGCTGGAAGTGGCAACCTTTTACTTATGAGCACACCTACTTCAGTTATTCTTTATGATATTCAACAACGTCAATCTGTAGCAGAAATCACTACGCCACCTGTCAAATATGTTGTATGGTCGTCTGATTATAATCAAGTTGTCTTGCTTAGCAAACATAGTATGTGGAAATTTTTTTTTAGTTCACACACACATATACATATATATATATATATATATATATACAATTCTGACAAAAGTTTATATATATTTTTTTTTAAAGCAATTGTTATTGCAAATAAAACTCTTGAACAAAGTCGGTTAATTCATGAAACTATAAGGATAAAAAGTGGTGCATGGGATGACTCTGGTATTTTTATATATTCCACTTTAAATCATATTAAATATGCGCTTCCACAAGGGTATGTTAAGTTTAATATTATTTTTTTTTATAAAGGAACAACAATATAATTAAACCTTTATACAATATATAATATATTTATACTTATATTTATATTATACGCTGATTTTATAGTGATAGTGGTACGATCCGTACACTTGATCAGCCAATTTATTTGACAAAAATAAAAGGAAAAAATGTACATTGTCTTGATAGAGATGGTAAAACTCGTGTCATCACAATTGATCCAACTGAATATCGTTTTAAACTTTCACTTATAAAAAGAAATTATGATGAAGTTTTACAAATTATTCGTAATTCAAATCTTGTTGGACAAGCTATCATTGCCTATTTACAAAAGAAAGGTTATCCTGAGGTATGTGTTAATCTCTACCTCGCACTTTCCTTTGTTCTTTAATTGCGTATCTATCTTTTTTTGTGATATGTATTGAAATTTTTTAAATATGTATAGATTGCTTTACATTTTGTAAGAGATGATAAAACACGTTTTGACCTTGCTATAGAATGCGGAAACATCGAAGTAGCCTTAGAAACAGCAAAAACTATGGATCGTGAAGATTGTTGGAATAAATTAGGAGAAGAAGCATTACGTCAAGGGAACCATCAGGTTTGTATTGTATTATAATATTTAATTATCATTATCATTATCGATTTTTTTTAAAACTAAAATAACATTTATTTATTTATAAGGTTGTGGAAATGGCATATCAAAGAGTAAAAAATTTTGAACGACTTTCATTTCTTTACTTAATAACAGGAAATATCGATAAATTGAAGAACATGCAAAAAATTGCCGAAATTCGTAACGATAATATGTCAAGATTTCATAATTCGCTTTATTTGGGCGATGTTGAAGAACGTGTCAAACTATTAAAAGAAGTTGGTCAATGTATAAATCAATCCTTTTATTAATTTTACAAATAACTTTTTTTAAGAAAAAAAAATGTAAAATTATTTATTTTATTTTACATATAGTACCACTAGCATACTTGACTGCTCAAAGTCATGGTCTTACAGAGGAAGCTGAATCAATTCTGACTGCTGCTGGTTTAACATCTGAAGATGTCGTTGACTTACCCTCAAATGGTCAATTGTTAAAACCTTCTACACCAATAATTAGACAACATGATTCAAACTGGCCATTGTTGACAGTTTCACGCTCATTCTTTGATACTGCATTCACTGCATCAACTAATAACAATTCGCTTGTTCCACCACTTACATTCACGGACGCAACAGAAGGTATTGAGGAAATCGGCGGTGATTGGGGTGGCGATGATGAATTTGGATTCATTGCAGATGGAGATAAATCGGTAGATAATCAAGGTGATGGTGAACAGTTAGAAGAAGGTTCTGGATGGGATATTGATAATGATCTTAGTGTTCAACTTGACGCTGAAAATAGCAAAGAACTTATTCACGGTGCACAAAGTGAATTCGTGCCCCCAACTTCGGGTACTAAAGAATCTGAATTGTGGGTTCATAATTCACCTTTAGCCGTAGATCACATTGCAGCTGGATCCTTTGAAACTGCCATGCAGGTATTTATATATTTATATTTATTTATTTATACTTGTATTTATTAGTTTAATTTTATAGATATTTAATTATATTATTTTATCAGCTTCTTAATAGACAAGTTGGCATTGTTAATTTTGAGCCTTTAAAACCTCATTTTTTGAAAACATTCCAAGCAGCAAGAACATACTTGCCTTGTAACGTGTCATTACCACCTCTAGTTTACCATGTTCGACGTAATCCAGAAGAGTTGGAATCTCGTAGATTTTTACCAATCCTTTCAAATACACTACAAACAATACTTGCAAACCAATTACAAGAAACTTATAAATTAACAACCACTGGCAAATTTCATGATGCTACATTGCAATTTAAAAATATTTTACATTCAATTCTATTTATTGCGGTTTCTAAAAGAAGTGAAGTAGATGAGGTAAAAAACTTGATGATTAAATATTAATTTATTTTAAAAAAG